CGGGCAGCATATGAACAGTAAGGTAGGAAGCATGGATTGGGTTGGAACTGTTGCTGTTTGCAAGTTTCGGACTTGAGAACTCGAAGCGCAATCTGTTGGGGCCCGGTTGAAGGTACACCAGTGCCTTGAAATGCGAGTTGCAAACGGGCCAGCTGATCGCGGGGAAGTTGTCGTCGAGTCGGCAAGCATTAAGGGTGCCATCGAGGGGATTCTCGGCGGCATTTCCGATTGTGCCATAAACAAGAAGAACTTTTTGATAGACCTGGTGACGGTTAGCACAACACTCCAACTAGTTCTTGAGCAAGTCATGTTTGATGGAAGTCTTGGCATAGCGTTGGTACCAATTAACCCCTGACGATATGGCTTGCATCTGCATGCGCGCCACAAAGCCCACCAGCCAGCCATAGAAACAATTCAAAAGCAAAACACCAAGACATACCCATGCATTTTCGGTGATGTTGATCACTCTTGGAGCGTATGGTGACACTGGAAGGCTCTGTCTTCCATTGATAGAAGGCGCACCAAGACCCGACATTCCGGAAACACTGTTGCGGTTGGAGTTGGACGATAGCGGCGGTCGCGTGGGGACGTTGAGTTGGCTCTGACTCTGGGACATTTGAGACTGTCGGCGCTGGAGTTGCTGCTGATCTTTTACCTGCAGATGAAGTGCAGGATCTGACTGGTGATCAATCGAAGGCGGCGTTAAGGAACCGCTCGAGGGCGATGTTGCTTGGCTTGTAGCACCATCACTGGATGTGTCGGTTGATCGATTGGTACGGAAACTGGCCCTCGATCGGCGGCGGAGGTTGTTGAGGAAGGTAGGGGCCATTGTCGCCGGCGACTAGGACCTGCCTTTTCCAAGATGTATCCAAATAAGAGTCAAAGCTGTATAACAATTGCGTCGTGGGCAAGCGAGAGACGGATCAAGAAACCAAGGCAAAATCGACAGAAAAGTGGCCGAGGGAGAGACCGAGATTGAAGTACCCAAGAAACCCGTGGTCGACAGAGGAAGAGAGGAGAGCGCTCGTATTACAAGTCTGGAGGAACGAATGGGGTGGTAGTTTAGATGAATGAGGTGGAGTGAGATCCCGAGGGGGGGTGTAACAAGAATAGAAGCAGTGGAAGCTGTCAGTTGTCGACAGTTGACAGTTGACTTGACTTCCTCTTGGTCGATCGAAGGGAAAGGAAGGAGGAGGGAAAGGCGCAAATTTTCATTAGAGATGAGGACCTAATATGAGAGGGACGTGGTTTCTCGGAGGACCAACAGAGAAATAACAAATGAAGTGAATGGAAATCCACTGTTTCGTTTCCAAGGATCTTCTTCACTGCCTTGGAAAAGATAACCCTCACTCAAATGTCCCCTTCCACCCCTGTTCAACGGAGAACGGAGAAAGATGGATATCTTATTGGCATCCCAGACACTCAACGAGTGATGACAGATGACGGAAGATGTTCTGTATGGCCGGACTGGACGAAAAGACGGCCACAACCGATCCCAAGACGTGCAAAAAGTGGCTGGTGCTGCTAATGCACTGGCCGAGAACGAGGATGCTCAAGCTTGGGCCGGGGGATCCGCTGGAATTGGTGGGTTGCAGCGATGCGATTTATTATTGCGGCCGTTGCAAGCGTGCTCAACCAGATGGTGGCTTGCAGTGAGCGAGAGAGTGTTTGAATCACCCTCGGAGACATGAGACGGAAAACGGCAGTAATGGAATGAATGACATGAGAACCCATCGGGAACATTGAGACATTATACATACTCCTCCAACAGTGTCTGCCTAAGTACCTATCTCTGTTGATCAATTCAGGTCGATCCAGCAGTACATATCAAAATGTCCCAGACTCATCCTTGTAAGGTTGTGGGCAGGCCACAGATAGGCCGAGCCTCACAGCGTGCCGAGTTGAAAGCGATCGTGATCTAGGTGGGCTTGAGCGAGGCCCAAGTTGCATACAACCAAAAGTTCAGTGGAGCTTGATATTGAATTCAACCAGCCGCATCCAGCGGGAACTCAATCTTTGAGGTGATCCCAGGAGCTAGAGCAGCTAATGGTAGCTCGTGGCCAGCATCCAACGTCTTCGTTTAGGCACTTGTGTTCGTCAACTATGGTGGCAATCGTAGCATTCGGGTAATACTCACCGCGCAATCCTTTTGGTAATATAATATATCAGAAGTCGCTGCTGTTTTGAAACCATCAACCCTCAACTTCGATGACGTCGAGATAATAGTACAACCCCTGGCCTTGTCCAAGGTAAGGTAGGCGGGACCATCCCGTGCCGCCGCCGATAGTAGACCACCCAACGAAATTGCGTTTCCATTCAAGATCCCACGTTAAACATACCTAAAGACTGTTGTTGGTGGGTGTTTCTAGGGGATGAGCCAGTTGATTGATGGTGCCATCCATCCAATGATTGCGAGGCCATGCAAGAAGTTCGTTTAGCGCCTGCAACTAGACTAGCCAACGCATTACACAGAACACTCTATCTCAAGAGTGAGTGACTGAATCAGCGGGATTCAAGGTTTCTCCCATTCTCGAGATGGTGGTTTTCCAGACCTTGGCCATGTCGTTTCAGATTCGAGGTTTATTTAAGGCCAATCACCATGTGCGTCCCCCTCCACTGCAACACCAATTAAATAATGTCGGCGATACTTTATCTCCTCACTCGAAACTATCCTGTTTCGAGACCATAAGCCGATAGATCCCACATCACGGTAAACAGGGAAGTAAAAATTGATCAAGGGAGAGCGGCTTTGCAGAAATGCCCTGCATCCTGACTTGATTAACATATGCTAATAATGGCGGGCGACTATCAACCGAAAGCAAAAAAGTCCACGTATGCGAAATGCAGCTTATGGGGGAACATTGAACAACAAGCTTTTAGGAGAGTGAGCTGATGAATAAGATGATGACGTGGGTGTACAGAGTACTGCACAGTAGGTAGCTTGGTCTGAAAGCAAAGACGCTGCCGGAGCTCGCAAGCAAGATACAGACTTGTGAATTCGTCATTCCAGATTTATAAATCCTTTGAGACGTACCGAAGCAAACAAACTTCGTCGGGGAGCACGACGCCAACTCCGCTCCTATGCAAGCCGAATAAATTGTGTCGTCGGCATTTTCATATTCTCTTTTGACGCTGTTGGGAATCAGAGTTCGGATCCCTCGCTTTCGAATTGAGTGACGATCTGTCTCTTGTAAACTCTCATTGACATTGGGATGCAATGCCATCAGTTGACTTACAGAGCGTTTCTTTTGATGGGCGTTGTAGACATTTACGGAATTTGATTGGTGTTGTCGTATTGGCTGGCTGAATCATCAATGAACGTAAGCTGTGGAGCTACTGGATGCATGGAATAGACGAGATTGTTAAGGAGAGTATGTACGGAGTATGGATCAGCATAGCTGAACTTGAGTAAATAGAGCTTTTGATAGCCTGGTCAATGCATTCGCAAAATAAAAGTAAACAAAAATGCAAGCCCTCATCCCTATTCATCGCCGTATCCCATCTTATCAGGTATCATGAGTGAGAAGAGACAAGAGACAACTTGATGTTAGAGCTCCTGATATCAACTCACCAGAGGTTCGAGCAAATCGTTGCTGAATTCACTCTGCCAAGGACGTATTTCATTCGAAAACCAGAACAGGGAAGAGCCTAGAGAAAATAACAAAGAATCATCAATCGATCAACTCCTATCAAACAGGTGGAGGAAACAAGATATAGAGCCAAGCTTATACTCCATCAGCCGGTCCCTTGCATGTGGTTATTGACCAAGTTTGGTCAGGCCTAGGAGAATCTGTAGCCAATCAAACCGAACAATGGACTACAGAACAAAGGAGTTTGTTCAGTCTGGACAGAGACTGACGCCAGTATGCCTAAGTAACCTGACTTGACAGATGTAGAGAGACCATAGCCTGTGTTGGCCTGATCTATTTAAGGGGTTTGCATTTCGCTTGTCATGAAAGGAATTACCGAGTTTATAGCCTTTCTCTCATCCTTACCATGAACTACCGTAAACCTGAGGCTGGCTGAAGCCTCTGGCAGAGAGAGCTGGGAAACGCCAAATGGGTCCATTCGCTGGCCCAGCAGCGTCAGATCGAGTGAGAAGGGGTCGATTTGAAGCATCTGATTGGCTGAGATTCGTGTGCAAAGTGCATGCATAAATACTTTTTCCTAAAGTACTAAAGTACCGGGTACAAGTCTAATTAAAACTTCCAGGGCGGATCAAGCCTAGCGAGCAAACTCGGGTTTCGTTTCCAGAGGAATGTGACCAAATTTACTTGGTGACCCCGGCGACCGGCTACTGAAAAGAGTTCCTTGACGTCTTGGATCTCATGTTAATTGATCTTATCAGACGATGGTGCAAGTTGGCAGTCTCTCTCTTTCAGTGATTCGTCGAATGAACATCAAGTGCAGACACAATTGTAAAGAACAAGAGCCATCGATATTATCACAATATCTTGGCCCAAAAAAGATAGCTCCAGGACCTCGAGTCTACAAACAAAGAAGCCAAACTAAAGTTTCCAGCTCAGTTCGGCTTCTCCTCTCCTGTAAGTCGTTACCCGGCCGTAGTGGCACGAGCCCCTCACAGGGCATGTCCGCTTACACCATTTCAAGACCAAAGTACCCAGTACCTAATGACGGGCAACTGCAGTGTTAGTGCCTGCCACTAAGACCAGGTTAGCAGGCTCCAGCTCACAAGGTACAGTACTCAACTGTAACGGTCCCTCGAGATTGCGTTTGCTTGCTCTGTTCTCTCCAACTTAACTTTGGATTCTTCATTCACGCACCCAAGCCACTTCAACCACCACTCACCACAATTCACTCCTTGACCATTACGACTCGATTTCTTGCCATTCGACGCACACACTTTCACCAAAGATCCGCCAATATTATTTCCCACTTTACACAACACATCGATCGATTCGACTTGTTAATTCAAATTTCACGGCGGTTGCCCCTAGCAGCAGAGCAGAGTAGAGCACAAGTGCGAGTGTAGAAGCATCATGTCTTCGCCGTGGAAAAAGCACCCAGAAGATGTCGTCGACAGTGTACTCAAGCGTGCAGAAGTGAGCAAGGTGAGTAACTTGATCCATTGACTTTTTACTATCAAAAATTCAATCTGGTCTTTTTAACTCCTGATGAGGCAAGCATTAACTGACATTTCCGCTCTTTAAGATTGCACGACGTTTGCAAAACCGCCTCGCTCTCGCAAAATTCAAAACCAAGCATGGCTGGGAAGACCTCACACTCGACTCCATCGAGCCGAAAGTCGAAGAGGAGATGCGAAGGAAACGTCTGACCGAACCTACAGATGTCCTCTCCGACTCATCATCAAGCGCATCCGATCTCCCATATCCGTCCCGAGCCCTCATGAGCTCTCCCCTCAAAGCGCCCCTGTTTTCCGATGCGGTAGGCTCCAGCAACGGCAGCACGGGACACCGCAAGCGCACATACCTCGCCTCCTTTCACGATGTATCATCAAGTCCTAGCAAACGATTCCGACTTTCCCCTACGGCACACAAGTCCTTTGGCAGTAATGGTGTATGGAAGAACTCGCATCAACTAACACGATCTTCTCCCCTCAAGCCCAGGCGGCAACAACACTTTACTACCTCAGGTGGACCCGATGTCTCCTTTTTCCAGCAGCGTCTGATGAGTCGTGAGCTCACATCACCCAATTTTGCTGCACCTTCCGATGACGATGAAGATCTTTTGCCCATCCACTCATTCAACCCTACCAATATCCGCTCTTCTCCTCCACGCACACCACCTATGCGCACCAGGTCTGTTAGCAAGCGGAACAAGGGCGAGAACGGTGCAGGGACCAATGGCAAAACTGGTGAGGAGGGAGCAGATTTACTTCTCTACCTCGCTGCTTCGCCATCACCAGCTGTCAGAACTTCAACTCGAACACGAATGGAGCCCCCATCAACCCCTCCCCAGAAGAACAAGCAGATGGATCTACCTTCTTCAATGATGATGACGCCTGGTGGGGGTAACCTCTTCCCAACCACCCCCAGTCAAGCTTTCGACTTTGCCGAATTTGTCAATATCACACCCAGCCCAGCACAAAAGCCCTTCAAGACACCAATCTCAATCACGGCAACTAGGACACCCGTGAGCGGTACTCAAAGGCGACTCACGTTCGACTAAGCGTCTGAATGGAGGATTAGGGAACCAGTGTGAATATGATCCGAGTTCTTTGTGGACATGATACCATGATAGCACTTGTTGTGACACTCACGCATGCACTTTTTTTGTTTCACTATTTGGAATTGGCCTCGATTATCCGTGGCGTACAGTAACACTGTACATGTCTGGGTTTCCTATTATTTGCGACGGCGTTATAGAATAAACGGCAATGGCATGAAAGAAGGTCTTTCAAGGGCGGTTATCAAAGACCACGTCTCGTACCAAGCGAGACCAGGAGGGCAGTTTTTTTTTTTTTTAACCCAGCGGCTGATTTCTCTTTTCTTGTTTGAGGTCAAGAATTGTTAAAACAGATTACATTATGGGCCGGTTCAGGAGAAAGGGGGGCACAGCCTGGAAGCATTGATGGAACGGCTTATGGACAATGTGACTATCATCTTATTTTACTACTAGTACCTATCTAACTATTTCAAGTTCAAAAATTCACACTTCTACTGAGTCGTTCTTGAGAATGCTGATCATACGACTGTAAATGCATGTATGTGGGACGAAAACGAGTGAGGGAAACCCCTTCTCCTCCACATAAAAACCGTGTACAAGCGCGCGTGCGACGGGCAATTTACGCGCGAAAGAGCTGGCGCGTAGCCATATCGTGTCTGTTTCGCGCCTCCGAGACCCCATTTCTGACCATCTAGGGCCAATCACTAGACGAAATGCTACAAGTGTAAGCTTTGAGTCTGATGTCATGAACCCCCGAAGGATGGATAAAGCGTGTTATTTGGTTGGATGGACTGCATCATGTGGATTGATGAGGGGTTCAACAGTACTTTCGAGACATGTACTCGATTAGAGGCTCAATAATGGCTGCCAGAACCTGCCAGAAGTGGAAGCACCACGTATTTGATGCATTACTAATATCCACACACATTTGAACACCACTACGCCTCTAATCTCATCACGAAGTGTCAATCATGAGCGTCTTTCACATTCACGTCCAGAGTTACAATGACACGAACAGCACATTGTATTAATAGTGGTATAAACCTAAAGTCTCGGCGGAGCATAGCAAGCTTTTCTGATTTTGACTCTAGCGACACCTCACGCAGTGTGCGTTCTTCTAAAGAAAAAGAAGGAGAAAAGCCTAGTTCTGTGGTATCATGAGCATAAACGCTGACATCAAACATCAACACCATCTATCCATCTTCTATTTTAAACTCCCCCCCAAGTCTTACAGCGAGCCAATGAGTATCCCAGGAGAACCACTATGTTGGTCCTCCGCCGAGAGGAACGAAGTGAATTTCCGTGTCCCTGCCATGAGGGTTCACATCGCCTGGCCGGTTTGTCGTCTCAGGATATTGCCGTCGCTCTCACTTCGGGAGTGTCGAAGTGAGGGTGGATAGTCAGATCCATCGTATCGGCCATAGATACTGGGTACACGAGGTTGAGGGGGCACAGGAGGCCACTCGCTAACATCGCTCACTCCACTGGTATATCGTGAAGTGTAACTCTCTGCCCGAGAGTGCCTGACAGTCTGGCGGTTCGTGCTATAGAAGGAGCTGGCGGCAGTATAGCGTGGCATATTTTGAATGTGCCCCATGCTAGACATGTGTCGGCCATCGAGCTCCAAGTCGAAGGGGTTCGAGTGAACGTTGCCGCGCCAAACTTCCTGTGGCCTAAGCCTCACGCCGTCACCTGTCGATTGAGGTGTAAGGTTGCGTGACATGGTCGGGCCTTGCCTCTGATCGACTGGCTCTACATAGGCCATCGGTGGCGGTTGCATATGGTCAGGAGACAGGCTGGAACCCTCGTCGGCAAACGGGTTATCCAAAGAATGAGGCCGAGCAGGGGCAAGTGGGGGTGGCACAAGAGAACCGTGAGGCAAGACGCTACCGCGACCATGTGAGTCCCCACGAGGCGCAGCAGGAATGGTGTTGTCATCAGAGAACGGGTTAGGGCTAGGAGTTCGTCTTCCATCATAACCATCGTCCGGCACAGGGGGGGCTGCTGCGAGGTCCACGACGCTTGATTCTTCAATAAGTCGTGACCACCATCCCTGTTGTTGTCCAAGAGCTGCGCTCCCTCGGCTAGGGGCGCGGTTTGTAGACGCGCTGCGACTTTCAGCGCCGAACTGAGAGTTTCCTCGGCTCATGTCGACATGAGAAGAGCTCATGGACTGTCGGAAACGCTGACCAATCTTCTTAGCATTGGCGCTCATAGCAGCAGCGACTTTGACAGAGCGAGGCGTTGGACCGAGCGAATGATTGTCGATTTCGTACTTCTCCTTACCTGATCCGCCTTGAGGAAAGTCGAGCGGGGTAAGAAGAGTGCTCCTTCGACGCTGCTGTCTCCGTCTCCTGATGAGCCAAAAGATGACAAGTGCGAGGAAAGACAATCCCACGATGGAACCGACAATACTGCCTACAACGACTGGAGTTGGGCCTGCATTGTCAGAGTCCTTCTTGACAGCTGAATCAGGACTTTCGGTCTTCGAGGCATGATCGCTTCCAGCAGTGGCACCGAGGCCAATAGTCGTAAGCCCTCCGTCGGCTAGAGTCGCTGTACTAAGTGCCGGCACAGCCCCGTCAGCGCCCGTCTCACCGTCATCGAAAACGAAACTATCAGATGCTTGAGTAGTCTCAGTAGCAGAAGAAGCAGTTCGGGTTCCAGATCGGGTTTGGAGGGTCGTTGACCGAGACGGAGGACCAGTGAAGGTGAAGGATGCAGTATCAAAAAGGAGAAACTCCGAAGTAGATGTCGAAGACGAGGACAAGGACGAGGACGATGAGGACTCGGTCTCAATTATGAGTCGAGCATTTTCTGGAGTATCCTTAGGCTCCTGAACAGGCGTCGTTACAGGGTCTGGTCCATCGATTAATCGGGCATCCTGTGGTGTCTCCTGAGGTGCCGGTGGCGTCGTTGTCTGGACAGGTGTTGTCACTGGATCCGGTCCATCTATCAATCCAGCATCTTCTGGTGTTCCCTTAGGCAGCTCTCCAGTGGTTTGCGGAACAGGTGTCGTCACCGGGTCAGGACTATTAACCGCTGGCGGTTCTTGGGGCGTTTCCTGCGGGGGTGGTTGAGAAGTTGGCTGAGCAATGGGTTCGACGGGGACTATCGTCGTCTCGTTCAGATTTGCGTCACTAGTTTCAGGCGTTGCCTCCCCTCCTGCTGCAGGCACAGTTGTTGGAACGGGCTCGACCTCTTGCGTTGTAGGTACAATCAATGATGCAAACACTGGGGTATCTACAGCAGGATCCGCTGCGGGAACAGGTGTCAGGTCTGCAACAGGCGCAGTTGAAGCCGGCGGCAATTCAACACTGTCAGTGTTCTCTGTAATGTTGGCTGGAACATGATATGTAACCACTATGGTGGTAGGCTCGGGGATAACCACATAACGAGACTCCATCTTCGTCTGAGTGATCACCACGGGTGCTCGTTCTTCGAGCAAGTGTGTATTGTTGGTATCGTCTCGTGGTATGCCGGCATACTGTCTTCCAAATAAAAAACTGAACAAAGCCCGTGTTCGAATGGCTAACATCCTCAACCAGAAACGTTCGCGATGCCAGTCGCCGTTAGTGAGAGCTGGAGTTGGAGCCTGGCCCAACCGTGAACAGAGGTAAAAATTCTGATAAATGAGCAAAAGCTTAACAAAGGGCCCCTGTGGCCATCTACTTTTTGGCAATATGCATGTAGATGGATGACCCAGTCACCTTGCGAATGTGATGAAGGTAAGAGAATGTAGATATCACGGCCAACTACCGTGATGAGAAACGTGAATGAGTGAATGATGGTACAAGAGAATGTAAAGGGCGCAAAACAAGGAAAGACACCAAGAGAGACAGAAACAGAGAAGGAAAGGAAGGCAAGACAGAAAGTGTGAGAGAGAATGAAACGACAATATGATTGCCCCGAGTGGGAGGGTGGTCAACCTAACATCAAGGTACCGAGCTGACATCCCATGAACTCCCTTTACCCTTTTTACTAGCGTTTGAGCTGTTTCCAGATACAACTGACATTATACATCAGTTCAAGTGCGGACCACGGTAGACATGGGTTCGTCGTAGCTAGGAGCAATACCCTGTCCTGCGACAGATCTGAAGCACGACAGCCTCCCCACGTTGTCTGAGCTTCACTACCTACCTGACTAGTCAGGTCCTACCGTCCTAGCTAGCTAGTGTTGAATCCGAGGAGCAAACAAAAGATCCGACGGGAGCAACATAAACAAGGTTGGTATCCCAGGCTTCTGGGACACCTTGGCTCTCTTGGCTTGCGTGGACTTGTGTGATGTTTGCATTTGCGTTTGTCACGAGGTTCCAGGCAGATGTTTCCCCGTCGGCATGAAATCCAAGCTCCAAGTAGAGTGGAAGCTGGTCGGAATAATTAGAAGGATGGATGTCACCCACATGCGACATCATTCCGTTTGTTTGTTTTTTTTTGCTTCTTTTTGTTTCTGTTTCTTGGTCGCTTTAACGCCGTAATTAAAAAAACAAGAAAAAAACGGTCTCGGCAACATGGGCGGCATCGAATCGCGATTGTGTTGATGCATAGTCCGCGTATAATACAGAATGTTGTTGATGGAAAAAGAAGTCCCGAAGCAAATTTAGGTGAGTGAGCCTCAGCAAGGAGATGAATTTCAGGTGGGGATTGATCCAGATTCCAGCCCGAGCCTGGCCTGGTCAATCATCTTGGCAGGAGCAGTAAGTAAAAGTCATTCTGGTTAGCGCCCGAGCGCTACTAATACCTGTACCTGGCCACCTGAGACACCTGAACATCCACCACCGTTTCTCCCTGTGGCCCTGCCCGTTGTGGCCCTTCCCGCCAGCAAACGCGCCGAGCCTGGTACATCACGCCTAAAGTTAGCCAAAGGCCCCACTGCTAGAACGTGGAAGACAAGGCACGGCAAAATATCCCACGAAACAAAGCTCGCTTTACTCCGTAGAACAAAATGACAGACAGACTGGAAATTTCATCCTCCTGAGAATTGTTTGGCTAGCAGCTAATCA